AAAAGAAAATGACAGTGAAAATTATGAGGATAAGTAGGATAGATACAGATTGAATAACCAAGCGATGGTAACTGGTGATTAGAACCACAAGTTACTTACCATCGCCTGAAGAAGTACAATCAAAGTATTGAAACATGAAAGCTTTTGTGTAGTGATTTCAACGTTTTTATTATAATCTCTTATAATAAAAATTATATATATATATATATATATATATATATATATCATTTGGTCTTTATTTATTTTTTACACGTACGCTACATATTTTAATGGTTAAATTGTAAATATTACTACAATAAATGAAGAAAATATGAACAATTTTCTATAGAAAGGCTTGTGTAAGTTGATTCTGTGGCTGTATGGCTTTATCATAGCAAACAGTCTTATTATTTGTAATGATTGTAGAAATGACCATTTTCTGAAATAGAGGAAGTTCTTACATTTTATTAAATGTCATTACTTACGGCTTACAGGGAAAAGGAAGTGTACAAGTTTATTGATTTCTGCGTGCGTATCTTATCCGAGTAAACGGTCCAATTTGAAATGTCCGCAGAAATGGACATGTGTCTGATATAGAGAAAATTTTAAAAGGGCATTTAATAAATGTCAGAGCTTACGATCTGCAAGAGAAAAGGAAGTAAAAGCGAATTAAAGAAACTACCGTGTTTCAGTTGTTAGTGAGTCGTATGGTCTATAACCACTTATCTCTTTGGATAAAGGGAGTTACTTGGCATCGATTAGTATGGACTATCTCGCATTAAGTTGTAAACTCTCATGGTTATCTTTTTTCAGGAGATTTAAACTCGGAGATTTTATTTATTTATTTAAAAATCAAGTGAGTGGTTGAAAATTCCCTTTTTATTTCTTGTGATCGTAAATTCTTAATTTTCTTTGACATTTTACCTTTTTAGCGGCTTTCAGACGTTTTGGTTTACTGATTGTCGTTTTGTAATGATCATCATCATCACACACATTCAAACATACTTACACAAATTCAAATTATACAACAACAAGCATTCATTGGATAATAAATCAACACTACTTTGTAATAGACAATTTATAAATTGCGGCTATGCGACAATATTATAATCGTTATATTTTCATGTAGTCGATTTTGTGCACTTTTGGGAGAAACGGATCCCAAGAGCCTTCTCAGCTTAGTAAATATTTTTCGGGAAATATCAGCTTCTAATTGGTCAATAAACACACAAGTGGACGTTGCAATCCACCCACGCACAATATATTTTTCCAGCGCGTGACTAAGTCAAGCTTCCCGCCAAGGTGCTGTGAGCCTGTCACGTGATTACATTATATAAAAAAAAACAAACACGAGTTTGGCTCTCTCTCTTTTCTTCTCTATTCTTGTTGCAAATGTAGTACCAGAAAATTATCGTCTTGACCTTGCGGTCAGACGTTAAAGAACACTACCAACACGCTTTCACGTACGTACGAACTCTTACGAACATTCACCAAAGAACTCTTACAAACGTTCACACACACATGTTCACACACAAACACAATGTTAACTATGTACTTTGTAAAATGTTTTGTTTAATACATATATTTGTTTATATATATATATCGGTCTTGTTTGTTTGTCTTCCTGATCTTCAGTTGGACTTAATCCAAGTCCAACATTCTATTGTACTGGACCTTTTTCTAGCAGGAAATATAAACACATGTTTTCTTTACATCTTCACCCCTCCCGGTCCTCTACATAATGGTGACCACCGACCTGATTTTGCGAAGGAAAGCCAATAGTCTACATAATGGTCCACTACAGTTTTGTGTGACTTTTTGACGCTGTTTACAGCACGTTAGCTATTTTAATTATTAAATTTTGAATATTACTACAGAAATTGTGATGCAATATTCAGATATTTTTTAATTTCCTAAAACCAAATTCTATATTTGAAATATGATACATTATTTCTTACTTATCGGAAATGTTTGCACGTCAGTCTAAGTAATCCATCTAAAGATGTATTAAAATTCAATAACAGGTTTTCAAGTTCCACCTAACATCAAATTACCACACACACCCCCAGCAAAAAATACGAAGAGAAACATTTAAGATAATGCCTACACAGTTAAAGTTCTTTGAATTTATCAAAAGGTAAAAAGTCTAGAATCGGGACTATAAAACAGGAGCTAAAAATTCATGTTAAAATTCATTATTTGCTGTTTTTTATATATTTTCAAATACATTTTTTTTTTCAAAATATATATTCACTATTCACATATATATTCCCATTCGTGCGTCTGCTTGTTGTTTCCTTTTTCTCTGAGAAAACGGTTTAGTAATGAAGCCAGCTATTCTCTATAGTTTGAGTATGAACTAAAGATTCATGTCAACAAAATTATTTTAATGAATTATAACTTCATAATGATTGTACCCCAGATAATTTTTACACCATTATAAGCGGGCCAACCATCACTAATTATCGTAGAACCTTGGATACCTTTGTATGACGGCTTCTTGAACTCTCATGGACAAATTCTACAAAGTAATTAATTTCTTCAGCCATTGTTGATGAAGCACACAGTCACGATTATATTTTCTTTTTACAGTTGCTTAAGACATATCCAACTCTGCCAGAACAACTTTTGTATACCAAGATCATATTGCAGCAACAATTTTCACAAGTTCTTTGTTCTTTCAAAAAGTTGTGCATGTTTTAAAAAAAATTCTAGCAATTTTTCTTTCATTTTTGTACATACGAATTATGGCCCCCTTTTGATGGTTGATTGTAGATGTTTTTACCTTATTACTGTTTTTGTCAAGAATAAATTAAATCATCTTTTAAATAGATAATTAAAAGTAAAACGTATCTCAGTCAGAAGTGTGTCGGTTAGAGTTATGTCCCTTGTCGCCACGAGAAGTCGCCCTCAATATATGCTGTGATCACTTCCGGAATCAAAGCAACCACGCGATTTTCCTCTGTTAGAAGGTAAAAAAAAAATCGAACATCTCTGTTGATTTTTTACTAAAAGCCATTATCCAGTGACCCAAAATGTCAGAAGCTCTTAAGGATCATAAAATCCAACGATTTTTGGAGGCTGAAACGCAAAAACAACGCTTCCAGCAACTTGTTCACACACTGACAGACCAATGCTGGGAAACGTGTGTCGATCGTGCCGGACAAAAACTAGACAGCAAAACCGAGACTTGCATTGTTAATTGTGTGGAAAGGTTTATAGACACAACGAACTTTGTTGTTAATCGTTTAGAAAATGTTCAGGTCAATCACCATGGCTCAGAAGAAAACGATATCATCTTATCATGACATGGATAGAAAGAAAAAACAAAAGGTCAGACGAAACTGTAGTTTATGGATTTTAGAAACAAGTATGAGAAAGTACCTTTATTTTCCCCACCCTGTCTGGGGACTTCCCTATCATTTTCAGGACATTCTAAGATGCACAAGTATATAACCAAAAAAAAAAAAAGACAAAACTAATAAGCCTACGTTGTTATGAAGAGGATTGTTTGTTTTATGAACAGTATCTTGACTTTATTTAGAAAGGTCATTATAAAAAATCTCTAAACAAAGGTGAAGCTTTCGTTTCTTCCTCAAATCCAAGAAGAATAAAGTAAACTTTGCTATTTGTTTATTTTGTCGAAAAGACGTTAAGTCTCTCTTTCAGAATTTGTCTTTTTCTATTGCAGCTGAAGGTTTTTCCTATTTTTATTAATAGAGTAAAGTAAAGACAAAAATTTCATATGAGGCAGCTTAAAAATGTATTTTCCCAGATTGGCAGTAACAGAAAGTAAACTTTTTCGTTGCTGTTTAATTGAAGTGGGCAGAGACTTGATTACAAAAATTCGTTTAAAAAAAAAAAAAAAATGACAAAAATCATCATTACATTTTTTTGTGGGTTTGTTTGAAAAATGACGAAAAAGTCACCCTTTTTGTGTAATTAATTAATTAATAAATACTCAAAAAAAAGTTATTAGATTTCTTTGAAGACGTTTTTATTTTACCGCTCCAAACTGAATTATTTCTTTTGCAACTTTTTCCTTTTTTTTTTTTTAACTAGCTTCATATTCTGAGCTCTGCTTTTGGATTATAACAAAACGAAATATTGAAATTCAATCATAAGTTAAGAAGCGAATCAATGTTTTTAAGAAAAAAATCAGATATTTTATTCTACTTTATTTCTTTTTTTCCCCCCCTCCTAAAGAGTAAAAAGAAAAAAAAAACTGATCATTCGTTACCAAATAAAAACTTTGCATCAGATTCAAAATTGTTTTTTCCAAATTCTGAAACTCATTGGTCAGACAGAAATGTTTAATTAAATTTCAGGTTTTTATTCATGGAAAAAAAAATTGTTTATATGGCTTTTTTTTTTATTTTATTCTTTTCATGTTTTCGAATCCATACGGAAACTCGGAATATGAGACCCGCTGAGTCACTAGTTATAAAATAAGTTTTTTATCAGAAAAATAAATGGAAAATATCAAATAAAAAAACTCCAAAGAAAGGATTCTATTCTTTTTTTAATCTAAGATAAAATTAAAAAAAACACTTAATACTCAAGTTGATGAACGATTCTTATGTTGTTGAAAACATTTCCAACTTTTAAATTCGAGGTTTATTATTTTATTTTTAAATCTAAATTTATTCACGCGTCAATCTGCTTTGATTTGAAAAAAGGTATCACAGATCTTTTAGTGCAAATGAAAATGTGAAGAATTCCTTATTTAATTAGTAAATTTATTATTTTAAAAAAGCAAAACACTTTATTTCTTTTTATGGGTATTTATTTTAATTCTACCCTAATATTTAAAATTAAGTAATTTAATAAATACTTTTAAAACCGATATTATTTTTTTTTTTTTTTTACGTTAAATTTTTGTATTGTATTGTGATATTTCTGAGGAAGTCAAAAGGGATTTATTTTTTATTGAGAAATATTGGACAGTAGTAAAAAAAGTGTATTGTAAAAGTAGAAATTTATTGTAATATAAAAAAAAAAATCATTTTTTTAGTTGTTACTCCATTGCAGGGATGTCATGTAACGACTTTTGTCGAAGGTTCGATCGTAGCCTGCAAAAAAAAAAAAAAAAAAAAAATTGGAGTTGAGGGTGAAAATTTAAAATAATTTCTTATTCAAATTTTTAAGTGCAGCATTTCAATCAGATTTTCCAAGCCAAACACTGAGTTACCTACTTTACACTTCCCTGTTCTCTATTTTTTAAGTAGACTCATATTTTGAGCCATTTTTTAAAACTTTTTTATTTAAAAGGAAAATAGCAATTTCAACTACTTTTTTCCTCAAGTAAAAATTGAAGTATAATTTTTAATGAGTTATTCCCACTATTTGACATTGTTTTTTTCCCAAAATCTTCTATACCTCCTTTCTGAATTCTAAAAAAAAAAAAAAAAAAAATTAAATAAGGTTCTGGTAAGTTTTGCAAAAAAACTCACAGTAAACAAATATAACTACATGTGTGTGTAAAAGAGGAAAATAGTCGCAGTTTTTCCGAAATTGTAGTTGCAGAATTATCTTAATCTGCAACTGACACTGTGTTGATGGCAGACACAGAAGGTAGAAAAAAAGGAAAGCAAGAAGAAAGGACTAACCATCAATGTTAAAAAGACAATGCATGTTTGTGAGCAAGAGAACAAGTGCAAAGATACAAATTATGAACTGGAGATGTCAACATCAAACAAGCAGAGAAGTTTAAATATCTGAGAAGTGTTTGAACAGAAGATGCAAAATCTGAATGTGCATTGGAATAGCAAAAGATGCCTTCCAAAAGCTAAGTGTTTTTTTTGTTTTTTTTTTTTTTTTAAGAAAAAAAGGAAAATTTTCTTAGAAACAAAGTATTGAATTATGTCATATCAGTCCTATATGGCAGTGAAGGCTTTTTTTTTTTTTTTTTTTACAATAAGGTCCACTCTGTACAAGGCACAGGGGCCACTCAAGGTAGAGGGTTAGGTTAAGGGGTGGGTAATTTATATAAATAGGAGGGGAAGGTAATGGTTGACTCTAGATTGTAGTGATTGGGGAAACATCCTCTTGGGAGTCTGTTCCCCTGGGCAGTAGTCCATGGGAAAAAGCTGTTTGAGTGGAGCTTCTCCATTGAAAGACACAGAGGGAATAGTTGGTGGTATACTACTATGTAAGTGGCATAGCAGGTCCTAGCCATGAATGTCTGACCTGGTGAAACCAGGTGATGCAGCTCGTCCGAGCCCTTTCCATGGTAGTAGTAGTGATAGAGCAGTGAGAGACTCACCTGTGAGAGAAAGAGAGAGGTTGGATGAGGGGGAAAATAATTCTTCTCAAACAAGCCATCGGAGACGTTTTTTAACTCTACCAAGACTGGAAAGTTAGGTCTGGGCAGCTCCCACCCAAATATGGCAACAGTTCTCCATTTTTTGCCTGATCTGGCTCTTGTAAAGGTAGAGGATAGCATGTGCAGAGTCAGCTGTACAATCTCCTCACAGATGAAGAAAAGTTGGCGGCAGCAGAAATGTTCTACAGAAGGATGCTGAGAATACCATGAATAAAGCACGTAAGTAACAAGTCAGAAAGTAATAACAAACAAATGGACACTTCTATTCAGAAATAGAAAGAGACTACTAAAATGTCAGATACATAATGAGGAAAGAAGACTTGAAGAATTTGATACACTCAGGACATATTGAAAGCAAAAAGGGAGGGGAATGCAGCAGGTGTGAATGGATGACTGAACAAGTTTGGAGGTGGCTTGTCAAAAATGTAAATGTTACTAAGAGCTACAAGTGATGGGAAGTTGTGGAGTGTCATGATCCTGAAGGGACACAGCACATGGAAGGCAGCTGGGTTCATGCTGACTGAACATACTGTAGAAATAGTATATATTTTAAGTTCTCCTGCACTGAACCAATAGTAATTGGATTAGCTGAAACTATTCAATGTTGCATTTAATCTTTTTTGAATTCTTAAAAGCTTTGTGTCTAAAGAATGTAATGTTTTTTGGAACTTACATATCAGCTTTTTACATGATACACAAAATGACCTCCCCCCTCCCTCTGATGTAGACAATTTTAATTTAAATCAGAACCTGGTAAACCTTATGCAAAGATTGTAAAACTTCACATCCTTATGCTGAAAGAAAAGCCAAAAATGTAATGGAAAGACAAAACAAAATGGATTTTTGGGATACTTACCAAATGGAAAATATCGTACCACCATGTTTATGGTGGTGTTGATTTTTAAGATTTTTACCGCCTGTTAAAAAAAAATGGAAAGGTTTTAAGAAATTAATAAAATTAGTTTTTATTGGAGTTGAATTCAAAATGTGAAAATGAAGTCCTGAGTTTTAAATATTTTTTAACTTCATCTTTGTTGATTTTATCATGTTTTAGATAATGCATCTTTGGACTTTTCTACGCTGTCTGGAAGTCAGGGTGCGATGGATAAATTGTCTTCTAAATTAAGCACAAATGAAAATAACACTGACATCTCATTTTAACAGATATATTTACTGAAATTCCACAAAAATATCTTGAAATGCTAAACAGTAAATTTCTCCAATAAAATCACCATTGGCTTCAACCACAGCCTCCAGACGACTTCAGAATCTCTTGCAACTGTTCTGGATTGTCTCTTTGTTTAAGTTGGTGAATGCTGCCATAATCCTTGCATTCAGTTCATCTTTGGTGTTACAAGTTCTGTTGGGCTCTCGCTCAACTGCGCCCCACATATAACAACCAAGGGGTTTGCAGTCTGGGAAGTTAGGTGGCCAGATGTAAGGTTGATGTGATCATAGAAATTGCCTGACAGCCATGACTGGGTTCTTCTGCTTGTGTGGCATGGTGCAGAGTCCTGTTGTCAGACACAGTATTTTCCAGTAGCCACCCTCTTGACCCTTGGCAGTACTACCTCCTCAAGTCACTTGATGTAGGTCTCCGTGTTGAGTCTGAGGCCCTGTGGGAAGATGAATGGAGGCGTAATGTTGCTATCACTAGTGATCACTCCAAACCCCTTCGTAATCACCATTAGGCTCATCCAACTCTTTCCAAATCCTCTGCATTGTTCTCAAATTGAAATCTGAAATGTTCAAATTGGAGATTCCAGCATGAATGCCAAGCAGTACAACATGCAGTTTCTAAATTTCTGGCAGACTGAATTGTGTCATGGTGCTCTTTTTCTCATAGACGGTGCCCAACTGACCCTACACTACTATGTAGCCAACAAAAACAACATGTATGTGCAAAATAAAATAAAATAAAAAAAATAAAATGGCGACAATATACCCATCGCACCCGGTATTTCAAAATCATTGAGTACTTTTTCTTTACTAAATCAGCTTTTAAAGACTATGGTGTGTAACATCCATGGTGTATCAACAGAAAATTGTGACAGTGATGTGATTCTGTCCAAATATCCGCCACGGAGACACTTGTCTTTAAGATAACAAACCATGCTCTTCTATTATTAATTATTTAATTAACAAGCCATACATGACAATTATTATTGCTCCCCCCACCTCTTGCCTCCACTGATGAAAAAACTGGTCTTTTTTTTTTCTAACCTCAGTCAAGCAAGATCACAATCAAATGTGAAAGTATTAGTTGGAATTATTTACAAACGAACAGTGTTTTGATCATTATGTCCTCCGCTTTTTATCAGGTGTCTGTTCATCCGGGTATCCTACAGGGGATTCTGGACTCAATCCTTTATTTAATCTATGGGGGTAGACTGTTCTCATTCCACTACCCATATCTAGGGATACCTCATTTAGTTCTTATTTTTAGTACAGCTCAGTTTTTGCTTTGCCCTGTATCTACCAAGTCCAAGTACACACTGCGCAGGGTTTGAAATTCATAATTACAATGTCACCAATTCACAAACCAACGCTTTCATTCACTCAGCTATTGTTCCATGGTGACAGTGGGAATAGGGTGAGGAAAGATAGAAAAAAAAACATATCAGTGATGCTGTTTGGCTTCACTGAGAAAAAGAAAGAAAGAGAAAATAGAGGAGGTGATAATGCTCTTATGTTTTTAGTGTCTGCTTCAAGGAAATGGAAGAAATTGTCAAGTTTAAAAATATTTTTATTTGTATCCTCTTACTTCTTTAAATGATGTCCTACATGCATACTTATGATTGCTAATACAATATTTGGTTAAAGTTGTTCAACTCAAATACTTGACAATGAAATAGAGGGATTTCTACAGATGTTCTGAAGTCATTTCTCTTGCAATGGATTTATTTATTCATTATATATTATGACACATCAGAAAGTTCAAATACAAAAACTATGAATACTTTCTTTTTTTTTTTTTTAAGCTTTTGACCCCAAGCAATGCGGGAAGCCACTAGCACGTAAGGGGTTACAGAGAGTTGGATCGAGAGCAAATAGGAGTGATAGAGGAAAGGATGAAGAGAAGGATAGGGGATAGATCAAGGCATCAGGAGACATCGATTGACATTACATTTGAATATTTGGAGATTATCGCTATCAGGGAAACAAGAAAAAGGCAGGGAGTTCCACAGGCGAGAGGTGCGAGACATGAAGCTATTGGAGTAGAAGAGATGTCTACATTTAACAGTTTCGACAGTGAAATGGTGTGAGCGAGATGCCAGCCTAGTAGAATGCTTCAATTCATGAAGTTTGGGAACCAGTGAAAGCAGCTTCTTGGAGCAGTTACCATGAAAGTATTTGTAAAAAAGACAGAAGGAGGCGACGGCACGTCTGTGAGAGAGCGACTGCAAACAAGATGCCAGATCAGGGCCAATTACGTTGCATATCCGTCTCTGGATCTTATAAAGAACCTTGAGACAAACAGAAGGGGCACAAGACCATATATGGCAGCAATACCCCATACAAGGGCGAATGGTTGATCCAGCGAGAAAGATTTCCTGGCGCAGCACAGGGAGCCAACTTTCCTAGCGGTGGACGAAGCTATTGACACAATGTATTTGTTCCATCTTAGGTCAGCAGGGATAGCTCTCTGCGGTGAGTAATAGAGAGCAGTTTTGTTTTTGAGACATTAAATTTAACCAGCCAATTCATGCCCCAGTTCACAACCAATTGGAGGTCCTTTTCAAGACGAACGACCAGGTTAGTTTTGTCAACGACACTAGTTTTGTTTTTGAGGCAGGTGTAAATTGTAGTGTCGTCTGCGTAGATGCCTACTTGGGAATCTATGACGCCAGGAGGATCGTTGATGAAGATAAGGAAAAGAGTGGGGCCAAGGAAGGAGCCTTGGGGAACACCTGCGTTCATAGGATAGGAACTGGAGGAGAATCCGTTGAGAATGACCTTCAATGCACGGTTTGACAGGAATTATTGTATTAAGTCAAACAATCGACCTGAAATTCCATAACTCTGAAGCTTGCAAAGAAGGCCAGCATGCCAAACCCTATCAAATGCTTTGGAGATATCTAGAGCCATGGAACGGGCTTCTCCGTTATTATGAAGACCTTGGTAAAAAATTTCAGTGATGGCTGTAAGCACATCAGCTGTAGAATGGGCAAAGTGGAAACCATATTGCTTGTCGGAGAGCAGATTATGGGCTGTAAGGTGCTTAACCACTTCGGTGTTGATTAAAGCTTCAAAGACTTTGCCGAAGAGGGGTAGGAGACTGATAGGACGGTAATTAGAAGGGTCACGAGAGTTCTTAAAGACAGGACAATGGATGAGGACTTCCAACAGTCTGGAAAACAAGATTCATTGAGGCAGTAATTATATAATTTGGAGAGGGCAGGGGCCAGTTCAGGCACACATTTCTTCAGGACAATGGCTGGTATCCCATCTCCACCAATAACCTTGTGGGGGTCTAATTTAGAGATAATGCCTAATACCGATGACAGGGTTATGTGCAGCTCACTCAATAGAGCCTCAGTTATAAGGGGGAAAATTGGGTGTGGGTACACTGGAAGAGTTGAGCGTTGAATTGAATGAGAATTTCCGAGCAAAGCATTCAGCCTTGTTGGCAGAAGAGGTCAGAACCTCAAACTGGTTGAACAAAGAAGGTATAGAGGGTTTGCTATTGTTAAGTACGTTCTTGCTAGATGCCAATAATCCTTGGAGCTGAATTTGCAAGATGCAATATGTTCTTTCATTCGAGCAGCAAATAGTGACTTTGCTTCATTGAGGACACACTTACACTCGTTACGAGCAGAGACAAAGAGATGTCTATTGCAGTCGGACATGTCGCTATGATATAGGTGGAAGAAGTGGTTCCTATGGGCAATGGCAGCTGAGCAAGCAACGGAGAACCAAGGGGATGAGTGCGATTTGACCTTATATTTCCTTGAGGGGATGAAAGCTTTGATTCCAGCTTTAACCCAGGAGGAGACCTCAAAAGCACATTCTTGAATGGGGAGCGTAAAGACAACATCCCAGGGGACATCGCGAAGGAAATCTCGGAGCATGTCCCAGTCTGCTCGTTGATAGCAGAACGAGGTCCTAGTGGTAGGAGGTTCATTGCAGGGGGTGGAGTTGAAGGAGATGTTGATAGACACTACAGCATGATCAGAATTGCCAAGAGAGCAGAGCTGCATGGCACTACAGGACTTGGGAATGGTGGTAAAACATGGATCAAGAGGAGAAGCCTTACTGTCCCGGTTGTAGGGAAATTGTGTGGGGGAAGTCAACTATCTGTGTGAGGGATTGAGAAATTGAAAAATTAAGGGTTTGAATGCCTGCAAGGTCAGTAGTAGCATTTTTAAGCCACTTGGTATGATTGAAGTTAAGCAATGTCAAACCTGGTCAGTACATAGAGGCGGGTACTGTAAGTGACGTTCTACAATACGAAATATATTTCAGCATTTAAACAACCCTCAAAGGATCAGTAAGCCATAAAAAAACATCAGTCAATGGTGTCTTTAAAAAAGGGGATGTATTTTAATTTTTATATCTAATACTAAAAAGAAATTAATCCTATTGTATATACTCAAGTATAGGGCGAGTTTTTATGATCAAAAATTAAGAGGTCACACTATACACAGGTAATTTGTTTTTGAGCAGGTTAAAAATTATGCATTTTTGGTGACCTGTTGCACTATATGCAGGAAAGTTTTTTTCTGGAGGGTTTAAAATTCATGCCAAAAAATTTAGGGGTCACGCTATACATGAAGTTGTCTTATACACAAGTATATACAGTATTTTCTATTTAATCAGCAAATTAGCCACTTTCAACAGTTTGAAAAACAATCTTCTTACATGTCAGTTGTATTTTGTTTTATTTTAGTTTCATAAACAACAAATAGTGCAATAAATTTCAGTCCAAATCCAACAATGAAATTCACAAGATGACATTCACTGCTGTCTGTTTTTTCAAAGATTTTACTTTTTGCAACTCTGTGTTACACGCATTTGCTTTAATAGAGTTAGTTTACTAAGTTTAGTCTGGTACAAGGTTACACACGTTAATCATCTAGAAAGGATTAATTTGTTATCCTATCAATGATCTGAAAGACAAGTTTATTAACATCTTACTCTATGGGAGGCAGCCTTCTTTATTCTCTGAAATCTTACCTCATTGTGTTCAATGCTTTCAAAATTGATTCCATTGACAGAAATTATCTGCAAAGAAATATAAACAAAATTAATTTGATTGGCTAAAGTTTTTTTTTTCTTTTTAAGGAAGCATAAATATTTATATTACTTTAATATTTTAAGGCTCATGATTGAAAATTAACTCCCCATTTTAAAATACTTATAATTTATTTATTAACAATAATTTTTACAAGAAATGGATATGAGAGGAAAGAATTTAGCATGATGTTTTATTTAAAAATTGATATGGTCACCAGATTTTGCTACCAGCTTCTTAAGCAGCCCAGGAATTGCATCAACAGATTTCACCAGGATCTCTTGTGGTATGAAAGACAACTTCTTGCAGTCACCCTTCAAGTTCTTCCAAAGTCTTCATTTGATAACCAAACCCAAAGAAAAAAGTCAAAGGGTGTTAAGTCAGGACTCCTGGCTGGCCATTCATATATAAAATAAGGGTTTATTTTTAAATCACTAGATATATTTTAATTCTTAAAAGCATTGTAACTGGTTGATTCTCCATCAACCTATTCTCTCTCCTCAGTCATGGTCATAGATTTTATTGAGATTTCCTTTGAAAATTTGTGACATAGAGAGAGAGAGAGAGAGAGACCTCCCACCCCGAGGTGGATTTAGTAATCAACAGTGCTAAAGAATTAGGATGAAGGTGTTAATTACTTGGGTAGTAGGGATTCCGGAGTAATTCCAGAAATAAGTTTGTTTTTTTTTTTCTCTTGTTTTTTTTTTCTTAATAATTGTTTCTGGGGTTGAGTTATTAGTTAATTAAATGTAATAATTCCAAAGTGATTAAGAGACAGATTCGTTAAAGTAAAGTTTGTGATGAATGGCGAATTGGACTTTTGAGTGGTCTGAATGGCAGAATTCAACAAGACGGGAGTAGTAGTTTTGGAAAAACTTAAGTATACGTTGTCTGCGGAAGACCCAGCAGGAGGTCCCAATCTGATTTTAGTACCTCTTGAAAACTGGGTTCCCGTTGAGTTTCGGGGACCAGAAAAGCTTGCATGGTGGTCAAAGGCGATTTGCATATTAAAATTCAGGGGCGGTGCCTAAAGATGGTTTAGCTCCACCTGTCTCTATATAAGCTGCCTGCACACTTGAGTTAACCAGAATGAAGATCAGAACGTGGCAGAACATGGAAGAGACGGCTTGTTGGAATTTGCTGGTCTGGTCTGTTGCTTGTCCTGCGTCAAGAAGACCGATCCGAACCAAGAGATAGAAATAGAACCCGTACGAATCCAGATAATTTCGTCAACAAAGCTGTGAGAAAGCAGACTGCTATATCGTAGGATGCAGACGAAGATCCACGAATTACTTCCTTTAGATCAGCCAAAATTGTTTAGGCAGAAATTTTCCTACTCTCTCTCTCCGACCCCAAATGAGTGAACCTCGTTACGACATTTTGTACTCGTGTAAATTCTTTGGTAGTGACATAAAAACAGTGGCCTAAAAAGGGCTCTTTTTACAGGAACCAAAAGAGTTGCTTATTTTTTCTTTTTCATGTCTTTGCAGCTACAACAAGAAACTTTTTTTTGCATGAATAGTGAGTTCCTTTCAGCGTAATACTTAGCCATTTAATTCATCCTACCTCCGGATCGTTCTGAGGGATCGAAATACTGCTGTTCAGATCAAAAATTCACAACGTGGCGGATAGTGGTGGTTCCTTCAGTTCACCGGAGGGGGACTGGGTGGTTTACTTTTCGGCCAGAACCACCGGAGAGACTTTTTGATCCATAAGAATCTGTTTCCATAACTAAACGACGAGGAATTTTGAGCGGCCAGTTTTCATCCTGAAATCAATCTTATTTTAACTTAAAAGCCAAGTGAAACATTTTATCATCAAAATGTTATATTAAGAATGACTTTAAATAGACAAATCACTTTAGAGTAAATTTCATTAAAAAAACAAAAACTGACAATTCAAAAATAGAAAAGTAAGATTTAAAATATGTCTATTTCTAAGATCAGATATTGTAACTATTTACACTTTATATTGTTCAGACTGTTGTCCTCATCTTTATTGTCGTATTAACGTTTCGGCCATTGTACACTCCAGCCTTCTTCAGGTGATATATGTTGAAATTTCAAACTGAACCCTTTATTCCATCCACTGGGGTAGCTTGTTCTAGTTCCATGTGCCATTCCTGTGGTGTGACCGGCATAAATATTATTTAATCTGTTGGAGATACAATTTCCCAAAGGGCACTTGAATTTGTAAACTATGTTGGTTTTTTACAAATCGCTAATGGGATGGAGTGGGGACAATCATTGCAAATAATTGAGTTGGATATACTAGATTTAGTGTACTATATGATTAACTTAATTTTTTTGCTAGGATCTGTTGTAGATATATTAGTATTTACTAATTTTTTTAGTATGATTTCATTGTTGGGTTTTTCACTTTTTAGGATTTGGATTACTTCTAATGTTGACTGTATTAATAAAAACCTAACAATGAAATCATAGCTTCACTGATGTTGAAAACTTATTTATCAATGTCCCCATTAGCAAAACTATTGACATAATTATAAGAAATATATACAGTAACTCATTTTTACTCCCACTTAAAATTAATCCTAATATATTACAGAAACTATTATTACTGAAGTCCCTTTCTTAGATCATAATCATATATATATATATATATATATATATACACACATACACACAATGTGATGGTGTCTCCATGGGTTCAGTACTGGGTTTGAGATTTAGCAATTTCTACATGTCTAACACTTTCACCCCAGCCCCTCAACCTCCAACGACTTACTGTCTGGGTTGAGGTGTCAACTCGGTCTTAACCAAACTTAAGGGAGTGACCGTAGGTCCCCGGAGCATCCATAGATCATTCGACCGGTCGACTGGTTTAATCCTACATCCTGCCCATGTTGTGTTTAGTTTGATCCAGAAAGCAGAAGTGATATTCATCCGTTCACGGTCAACTGGAGATATAGACACGGCTGGAGAGTCTGTGCTAAGAAATTTAGGATGAACAAAAAAAAAAAATATATATCTGCAGTAAGCCAAACAAACAACTATTCAATGGTCGAATTATTAATGTCTTTTATATAGCAGAAAAGAATAGTATAGAAAAGAAACGGGTTACAGAAAAGAAAATTATTTGACGTAAAAAGAAAAAAAAATTCATACACTGGATTCTAGACAGAGCAAAAGTGGGTTGTGATTAGCTTGTTGTGAAGTCGTCTCAGAATGATATACCACACTTGCGATGGAGAGATAAAGATTTCTGTGCATGGCTTAAAGTTTATAGTTGCGTACCTCCTTGGCAGTAGTAACAGTAGTAGTAATCTTCATGGTAGCAGAAGCATCGGTACTTATATTAACAGTACATGCTAGCAGGGGTTTTGTTCTAATCCCTGATGTCACTTCCAATCTCCAATATCTCTCCACCCAGCTTGACTGCACCCGACAACAGACAAGCCCAAAAACAACCTTTTGATTATTGTAGCTTGTTCGACGTTTCTGTTTCCAGTGGTAGTAATAATAGTAGCAGTAGCAGTCTTAGATTGTTGGAGGAGTAATTCGCTTCTTCGTACTTATATCAACAAAATATGTTAGCGGGCGTTTGGTTCCAATCTGACGTCACTTTCAATGTTCGACCTCTCTCCACCCAGCTCGACTGCACTCGACAGCAGATGAGCCAACCACTCTTTTGCGTAGCAGTCACCTGTAGGTATCCACACACGTGATGACATGCAGCAACGACGATGTACTGACCGATTGTGGCCTCTTCCATCTGCCTCACTACGCGTTTATATAGATAAATCTGGCTGATCATAAATCAACCCTTGGCCCACAAGCGATTATCACAAGTGCTGCCTTCAACCCAAAATCATGTGAATTTCAAAGTTCCTCATAGCCTATAATCAATAGAATTATTTCGATCATCTTCCATTGTCTTCCTAATGACCCAATTCCAAATGGGCTAGATCAGATTCCCATCGGTAAACAAAATTGTTCTGATATAATTTCTCTGTTCAAATCTACTCCAATTTCAATAAAAAAAATATACGTGTGTGTGTGTGTTTCCCAAACTCTCTCTCTCTTACATTTGTTGAACCTCAAAAATAAGATATTTACAGATTTTAAAAACCCATCCATCTACCTAAGATATGTTGATGATATCCTTATGTTAGTTAAAAATACAGATGAAATACTTCAACTTTAAAAACATTTAAAAAAGAAGGCTGGAGTGTACAATGGCCGTCCTTAAATTAACATATGAACTCAATAATAACATTCCCCTCCTTGACATATTGATAAACACAAATAATAACAAATTTACTATTTCACCATACAAAAAACCTACCAGCATAAATTCATGTACACCTAACTACAAGAGTGAATGTCCATATCACTACAAAATAGCAATTATAAAAAACCTAATACATTGTGCAGAAACTAATTCATCCACAAAACAGATTTTTTTTTTTTACAGTGAACTAAAAAATATAAAACAAACACTTATTAATATTAGCTTTCCAAACTATATAGTTGAACAAATAAAATGCTTTCTTAGAATATTAAGGAAATAATACATAATACTGCTTCTACTAATTTCAAACATATATTGTAATCAAATGCATACTAATTATAAAAAAATTAGTAAATACTAATATATCTACGACAAATCCTAGCAAAAAAATTAAATTAATCATATACTACACTAAATCTAGTATATCCAACTCAATTATTCGCAATGATTCTTCTCCCCCAGTTAGTGATTTGCAAAAAACCAACATAGTTTACAAAAGTGCCCTTTGGGAGATTGTATCTCCAATGGATTAAATAATATTTATATTGGTCACACCACAAACTTGCTTTCGCGTCGCTTGACTTTACATTTGAATGATAACTAACATTTTTAGGCATTTAAAACATGCCTCGCCGCATGCACAATTCTGGAAAATCCTCGTTGAAAACACAGCTATACTTAAACATGAAAACAATAAACAAAAACTAAAAATTCTTGAGGCTATAGACATAAAACTGTTGAAACCTAACCTGAACAAAATAAACTATGAAATCTCCACAAATATTCTTAATTGCCTATAATTGATAACAGAAGCCATTGCTTTATACTAACAGCTTCCCATACTTAATACTTCTCGTTTTCACTCTTGCATGGTCATGTGTGATGTCATGAGTTATAATGCGATTTTCGCTTCCAAAGTGTTATATGCATGAGTTTGTCGTTGCTTGGAAATCTTCCATGTAAACATAAACAGACTATCATTATTATTTTGTCCATATATTGCTTAATATATTGTAATGTAATTCTCATCTTTGATAATGGCTTATGTAAGCCGAAAGCTTAGATAGGATTAAAAAATATGTATCGATAATGTGATTTTCTTTCTACTTTTAATGATAATGTTATTAAGCTTATCAGACGATATGAAAAGAATTTACATAAAATAGAGAAAACTTGTCTATAATATTTAATGAAACATGCATGAATGAAAAAAAATGCTGCCTAAATACATAATGGATTAAAGTGCTCAATATCAGGGATAGAATGTATATAAATATAAAAGTAGACAGTGAAATCAACACTCAGTCGCAACAGTCTATTTAATACTTAAAAGCAATCTTCAGGCCATGTTTTCGCTTGACTATATATGTTGATCAATGCTGTATTATAGGTCAGAAGGTCTATTGTATTATCCTAAACTGAACTCATTCCAGCTGCATTTTACCCAAGGAGGATAAGCAGTAATTTACACCCGCCTCCACTGCTCATACCCTAATGATCTACACACAGAGGAAATGTTGACATTTGACAATTTAGTACTTCCTCAGGGGAAATTAAGTGATCTTGGTTTTTGCCTTAAAAAGACCAAAATGGATAGAAAACATTTCAGAATTTCATATAAAAAGAAAACAATTTGGAAGAATTTTTTCTTTTCTTTTAGCCTGAAGATGAATGACTTTTTTTTATTCCAGCTGGGAATTGAAACTGACCTGATCTCCTTTGTTCAGTCCTCTGCGGTCTGGCTCACTACCTGCCATTACCTGCAAAAAAATACAAACAAAATTATGGGACAAATCCACTCAGCTGGGCAGCAGCCTGAGCAGCAGTGCAAACAGTTAGCAGCAGCCTAGAGTAAAAGTAAAAAGTTGACTTCAAACCGAGTGTAACTTCTATTTCAAGCTACCTGCATATCTTTATCTGTTCATGTCCTTAGAAAAGGCATGGACCCAATTTTCTCCCATTGTATATCTTGAGAAAAGATTTCACCACTATCATTTCATGTTTATTTTGTATTAATGCTTTTTGGAAAGACATGAATCTACTTTTCACTCAATTATTTTTCATTAAATTGATTAAACAAAATATTCAGAATTTTGTTTCATTATTTTTCTCACCTTTTTTTTTTTTTTACTTCTCTGGAAGTTTCTGATAGAAGACATTCCATTCCCCATCCTACATTAGCATCACCCGCCTGGCATAAAGTCTCATCTTTTCTACACTTGGTGACATCTATTTCACTTGTCTCACAGAAGATTTTTTTTTTCACGTTATTGTAAATCATCCACTTTTCATTGCTTGTCCCAATTTGTTAGGAAAAAAAACCCAAACATTTTTGTTACATTTACCAAATCACACAAGAGCCAGTCAAGTATTAAAAGACTAATAATAATGAAACTGGTGCAAATGATTTTTAATGTTTCATTTGAATATTTTGTTTATATCCTGACAGAGCTCAAGTCTCTTTTTTTTTTTTTAACCTTGTTTCAGAATCTCCTGAAATACAACTTTAATTTTGCCCCTAAAATTTAAAAATTCCCAAAATAAAAATGTTGTTAGTAGTACAATAAGAACATTAAAATGTTTAAGAAATAAATTAAAAAAGCTAAAATATTAATTTTAAAAGTGAATATAAAGAAAAAGCAGTTAAGTTTTACTTTAATTTTTATAAAAAAAAAAAAAAATCTCATTTTTATTTAAACATGTCAGTTAAATTGCCTTGAATAATTTTACACTGTAATGTTTTTAATTTTCATGCTCAGATTAACTTTCCTCAGACTTGAAGAATTGTTTTCTCTCTGCATTCATTTTGAATATAAAGGATATTAACATATTTCAACTTTTGAGAAACAAAATGTTTTTAAAGTTTCAATAAAAATTTCCATACAATTACCAGCCACGCATTGTGACTAAATTTTCTATCTTTGTTTACCATTTTTTAAATTCTTTTTATTTTCAATTTAGTTTACGATAAGCAGAAAACATAACAAATATTTGTTAAAAGGTTCATTCAAGTTTTTAACTAAAAATTGACAGAAAAAAAAAATATGATTTTCTTGTTTTGTTATTAAGCAAAATTAGTTTTATAATCAGATTCTAATGTTTTGCACATTTAGAAATAAATAATAAATTTATTTTTAAGTCCTTCAACCATCATTTTACATTTGGGTTTTATTAAAGAGTTTAGTTTAAAGAATACAAAAGGTTTTTGTTTATTTTTGTTGTCGTTTGTTTGTGTGTGAATGTTTTCTTTCTTAAAAGTGCACAACTGTTTTGTTTTTATTTTAAGAAATGAATTACTTTTAGAATTGATGTGATAGAATTTTAATTAGAAATTTTCTATCATCCCCACCAAAATCTACGCATTCATTCTAAATTAATGTCATCTCATCCCTGACATGAATCTCAATTGCTGCTTATTCTGTGCTAATCTCACTTCAGTTGGTTAATATCAACCTCAACTAGTCAACCGCAAAAAGAAGCATCAATCAGTAGGAAATCTTTCACACACAATGTCACAAACAACTTTTAAAACACTTGATGTGCCACAATGCCTTTTGCCATAAAATTCACAAATCTGGTTTTTATGTTTGGGTAGCAATTTTATTTTTCTAAAAACTAAAAAGAAAAAAAAAAATTTTTAAAATGTTGCTTATTTGTTTTTCATCAAGAAAAATATTCCAATTTTGACAAAATATTATAAAAATGCATGCTGTCATAATAGACTCAAAATGATCTTTTTGAATAAAGTTAACATTAAATAATCCTATAAAGAACTTTTGAGCCAACAGGCCTTTGAATGTTTATGACAATATCGGTAGTCTCTATGGATTTGTGATTTTTAATGTCTTAAATGCAGATAATTTATTTCTGTTTCTATTAAAGAACTGAGAACTTGTCAATAGAGTTAAATTGTTTCAAGTTTTAAGGCGTTATTGGGTGACAAATTAATTCTGGTTTAGATCATCTGCCTCCATAGATGACAATAATCTGCACCCTGACCCCCAAAAACTCGTAGTTGTCCAGAAGCTCTTGTTTGGAAGTGTACATTATTTTGATTAAAAAGCAATCAAAGTATTTATTTTTCAGTGTACCCATATCACTACCGAATATGACACAAGGTCAAGGTTTAAAGTGGGTTTAACATAGGGACCTCCACGAGATCGCTAAAAAAAGAGTATAGCATGATGAAAAAGACGCCAAACTTTTATCATCTAAATGTTTGTTATTATTAAGAGGAAAGATCAAAGTATTTTGGGGGTATTTTTTTCCATTTTTTAATCGTTCCTAGCACGTCCAAAATTTTCGTTAAAAATCTAGTTTTTTTTGAGTCAGCAAAATTGACGAATTTTTTCTATTTTAAAAAAAAATGGAAATCTCACTTTGAAATTCTTTTAAATATCAATTATCATTTTTTCAAAACTTATTTTAAGAAAATCAGAAATTATAATGTTTATTTAAAATATTTTGAACCAAACTTAACTTAGCTTTTGTGCCAAAAAAGATGTAATTTGAAAATAAAACAAAGCAGGTCATAAACTTTTGCGTCTCTTGACAGGTGATGAATGACATATTTACGAATTCCATGAGGCTAATTTGTTCTATGGAAGGAGAAAAGTGAAATAATTTACATTTAAGTGAACAAATTATTTACCTAGTTATTTTTAACGAAAACTTTCAGCGGTCTAATTTTTTTTTTTTTGTACTTAGCTTTCACCTTTACGTTTATGATGCTTTATGGAAAATATATTCTAAAGAAATTAAAATAAGACTGTTAAGAGTGACATTAAATTTCATATTTCCTAAGAAAGGTATTTAATTAATTTATAGGTACCTTTCTTTTGAAATTTTATCAGAACTGTACATAAAATACTATAATTTTATGTACATTTATAACATTTTACTGTTATCTGTATTTGCATTCATTTTATTATTAATTTTGATATTTCATTTATGGAAAAATGTCATAACTGAGATTAATATAAAAATAAGATCATATAAATTTCATAAGATGATACTGATACTTGTAGGTACCCTTCTCAGTTGAAATTGAAAAATCAAATTAACTTCTCCACACGTGTTTCGCAAAAGTAAAGGCCTTAACAGCGGAGAACAATGCTTAACTCAAATAACGCAACTTAATTATATTCTGGTTGGTCTTCCGTACTTTATAATTACAGCCCAGTTATAATCACAAAATTACATTTCTTAATTACTGCAGATCTTCTGATTAGTCAAAATGATACAATTTACAACGCACTACAACTATCTCATAAGGACACTTAGGAAAGCCGATGCAGCTTTTAACTAATTTTATAATATTTTAACAACTTAAATGTAAAATCTATTATAAAGAAATAACAAATAATTGTATTAAAAATTCATTTTTCATTGTAAAAAAAATTTTGCTTTCAGAAAATATTGTCCATATTCTTAAAAACAACTAAAAGCAAATAAAAGCATTTGAAATTAAATAATATCTTTGTTTTATTGAGTTTTGTATGTTACAATTCAGAGCTGATTTTCAGGTACTGCGGATCCAATTAAAAACAAAAAAAAAACATGATTTGCATTCCTCAAAGCCCTGTGCTTTTAATTATTGTAATCACTAAACCCGATGCAATCGAATTTCTAGCGTTTTCATAAAATTAGTTATGGGGGGGGGGTAATAAATATTTAAAAAAATATTTCTACCATGACTTTAATAAAAAAAAACATATTTATAATAATTTCGATCATCTGTGAATAGTTCCTGAAAGTTTCATTAATATCCGACAATTATTTATATTTTTGCAAGGTTTTCCAAATTAATGTGTGTCATACCAAAAAAAAACTTGCTAAAAATTGTCTATGTTATTTACTAGTTCTGCTGATACAAATAGAAATAGTTTTTTTTAATCAAAATTTAGAATGTTCTAAAAAGAAGGAAAAAATTTTTAAAATACTTAAAAAAAAACTTTGGTCTTTCCTCTTAATAATAACATAAGCAGTTAGACAATAAATTTTGTTTTCGGCAAGGTTGGCGTCTTTTTCATCAAGCTATGCTCTTTTTTTAGCAATTTCATGGAGGTACCTAGTTTAACAGCAATATAGTGGAAAAATTGCCCAAGCCCCCCTTGAAACTTCCCCTTTCAGGGATGCCTCAGGAATCAGGCAATAAACCTTTCCTGAAGGGAGTGTTACTGCCTGGGGGTAAGGACTCCTGGGGCTTGGGCTTAATATTGTTTATGCTTTCGCAACTCTAAAAAGGTTTCAACAAATAGCAGTGCTTTTTTTTTTCTCTAGATATTTACAAAGACTGACATGAGTGACAGTGAATAAATGAAGCGGGTAGAGTGTGTGTTGCATGATTCTTCTGATTGGAAAAGGTTTGCTTGCCTTGAAAATTGGTTTTTAACTGGACTTAAACCTCAACTGCTGCTGGGAAAGATGCAGCAGCCATCTTAACCACTGAACAGTTGTTATAAATAGAAAAACAAAATTTCTTCTCAATGGCATTTTTTTTTTCTTTTGTGGAGGTTGTTACAGAATGTTGGTTTTTGCATTCAAAATGAACGTCAAATGAACATTGTTTTGGAAGGTTTATTTTTTTTTTATATACAAATGCAAACTTGTGTCCTTCTTGCATGATAGAGTTCATAGCTTGCAGTATTTTAGAACAGAGAGAGAGAGAGAGAGAGATCCCTCCTCCTTTGTAGTTGTCCTGATTAGTTCTTTCATGGTTAATGAAGTGGGCCAACCTGTCCCATTTCCAGATGAAAATGTAGTGAAGACTGACATCAAAGCCCTATTTTTTTCCTGAGTTTGTATTGAAGTTGCTAAGAAATCAGAAAGTGCAGTGAATGTTTATGGGATTTTGTCTTATGCTTTTGGGTCTTTGAGATTTTCTTTCACTCATCCAAGTATCTGGTTTGAAGCTATCTGATTGACCCCTCCTCAAGAATGTCTGGTGTTGGCATCAGTGCAGTGTGAAGGAGATGATAAGCCAATATTTTTCAGGGGATTTAAGAAATATTTTTATTTTATTTATGTTATGGTCCAGGTTAGGACTGTTATAAAATAAAATAAGACATATCTTGGCTGATTTACAGGCAAATACTCAAGAGCGAGAACCGGATGTGAACGGGACAAAACCCCGTCACAAAATGACCATTATCTTTCTTCACAAATGTTTCCGACACAAAAAAAATCCGTCGAAAAATAAAATAATATTTAAAGTGCTCTATTTTTCGTCCAATAAAAATGCTTCCTCCTAATTATACTCGCTTGTTTCTCGAGCCTGTTAAGCCATAAAAAACGCTATAAAAGGGGTCACAGGGAAGTTCAGCAGCAGTCAACAGGTGGCCACAAAGGAGACCGGTCACGTTTAGCAGCTGTCAGCAGGAGAGCGTCAACCACCGTCAACATGTGGGAACTACTATGAGAGATCGACCTAGATCCGAAAGCCGGCTTATGAACTTTACCACACCAAGGTAGCTGTCCTAAACCCTTACGTTCCTGTTGAAATAAACCACGTAAATCTATTTCTGCTGTTGTTGTGTTTCTTTCTTGCAACCATACGTTTGTCTATAACAGGACCAAGGAAGAACAACACAAACACAAGAGTAGAAATAACGAAGGTATATTACACGAAACAATAATACAAGATGTGGAAGGTGTTAGTATGATTGTAAGTCTGGTTTGGAGTGAAATACTATTGGCTCGACTCAATTCGTCCCACTCTCTTGAGAGACGTAGTATACATAGTGTTAGGAAGACTTCATTCTGTAGTTATAGGTAAGGACCCGTGACAATTTATTAAACTTTGTCTGCTACAATAAGAGAGATATTTTTATTTTATTTATATTTTTATTTTATTTATTAAACTTTGTCTGCTAGAATAAAAAACAAATCAAGCAAAATAATTTATTTGCACAGCAATTAATTTTGTGGAGAAAAAGTTAATTATTTCAAAAGTTGCCCCACTTTGTAAAATATAAACGTTTGCCTCTGATTAAACAAACTGGTATTAATGAATCTCAGCATGGATGAAGCTATAATTACAATCCTTTTCTTTATTATTTGTGAATTAGCATGATAACTTAGGAAAGATAGTGGAGTGGTTGCCTTCTCAATGTTTTTAGAATTTAGAGCTAGAGAGCCCTGTCTATCGTAAGACATTGATGAGGCAAGGAGAAGTGATGGATTCATGCCTTTCCCAAGGAGATTTGTGCAAAAGTGAATGCAACAGACCAGGCTGGTATTTGAACTCTGTTTACCAATTCTCCTTTCCACACTACCAGTTAAAGCACCCACACATCTACTCATTCAATATTTGATACAAATTATGAATGTAGTTAAAGTTTATAAAATCTTCTCAGTCAATGTGTTAAAATTGTCAATGCATCTCTAAATCGATCGGCAGCATAGATAACATTCTGATTTCAATTAAACCAAAACAAAGATGTTACATTGTAATATTTAGATTTTTGGTAAAGATTGAAATAACTGAAAATATTTGCCAGAAAAATGGCTTATCATTGTCTTACCTTGGAAACAAATATTCCATAATGATGTTCCTTGCCACCACGAATGTTAAACCCAAGCTGTAGGCAAAAAGAAAAGTATGTGAGCCCAGTTGAATGATGACAGCTTTTGTAGCTTAAATGGTTAAGGCTTCATCCATGAAAGACGAGCTCATGAGGGGGTGGAATGTTGAAGGTAACTTCTTTATCCATAATTTTTGCAACTGAAAAATATCTTGATCAAAAATGTGTGGGATTACCTTCACCTTGTCTGCCAATGGACATCACTTAACACTGCTAGATGGTGTGACAATCAGTGATATAAAACAAAAGGACTCACTCTTTCTTTAATTTTTATTTTGCACTGGAATATAGTCACAACTCCCTTGGCACTTGTTTCCCCCAGAAGCAATTTCTTGTAATATTGTCTTTCAAAATAAATGAATTTAACACAAGGAGGATTTTAGATATATATTTATATAAACAAGCTTGTAAAAATGAAAAAAGAGAATTATATTTATGTGTAAAGTGATAGTTCTAAAAAATTGTAGTGATTGATTGTGTGTCCTGTTTTAATGGAATATCAACCCTGTTGGGCATTTAATGCTGAAAAGTAAAAAAAAAAAAAGGTGGGGGGGGGAGAAAAACATTTACGAGATTAGCAGTAGGGTGTATTTTGTACATGTGCCACATGGCTTGGTGAAATTAAATAGTTAATTTTCCCAGGTAAAAACATCCCCACCCAGTGGAAACAAGTCTTCTGGATCACAAAAGAGAAAGAATGAGTCCTTTCCTTTTATACTGCTGATTGCTGTGTCACCTAGGGGGTGTTAAGTGATATTGTTTGGCAGACAAGCTGGAGTAATCCCATAAATTCAATAAAAATCTAGAGAAAAATACAAAGTAACTCATAAAAACTAAGAATAAAATGGAAAATAATGAATGCAATTACCGCATAATTTTTTGGTCAACTAAACCAATTTTTTTGTTTGTATATTAACTGTCTCTTGTAAAGGTAAGAAGATGGCAGGAGGCATCAGATACTTACTAAAGAGGATGGCAGGAGGCGTCAGATACTTACTAAAGTTCTACAGGGAACTGACCATTTTTTTAGCAATGTATGAGTTGCACTTGAAGTCTGCATGAGCTTAGGTTCCAATAGGCACTTTTAAAGATTTTTTATGACTGAATATCCACTCCCCCCAACACTATTATTTTAAGTTCCTGGAAGAAAGGAGTTTTATTTCCCCACCCCTCATGTAACAGACCTGATCAAGATGGATTATTTTTTTTATGGTATATCAACCCTGTGTGAGTTATTTAAGGCTGATTGTAGTGAGGTTGTTATAGTCTGGTGTTCCTAAGTGGTCCCCATTCTAAGTACTGATCGTGCTCAACACTGCTTAACTTTGGTGATTGAACAAGAGCCATTGTCTTCAGTGTAATTTGACCACATGCAATGACGATGGAAGAATGGATCATTAGTTGTTTCAACAATACTGGACATCAGCTGTCTATATTTCTGAAATGAGGTATTGTAACTGCTTACATGATTTACATTGTTTGGACAGTTGTCCTCATCTTTATTGTTATATTCTGAATTTTTTGGCTGTTGTACACTCTGGCCTTTTTCATTGACCTGACAGAAATAGTTGGGAGTTCAATACCTGGCTACATCAGAGGTGAACAAAAAAAAAACTTAGGGAGTTGAGTTACTAAAGGAAAAATAACTGAAACTGAGAAAAGGCATGGCATGTGGAACTAGAACAATCTATCCCGGTGGATGAAATAAAGGCTTTGGTTTGAAATATCAATGTATATCACCAGAAGAAGGCCGGAGTGTGCAACGGCTGAAATGTTGTGAATATGACAAGAAAGATGAGGACAACAGTCTGACCCATGTAAATAGTGTAAATACTTGACATCTTAATGATGCTTTTCAAAGTTATCTACAATAAAGATTATTTATTTCAATCTTATAATTACTCCAAGGTAGTCAAGAAAATGGTATGGAATAAAGTTGCAAGAGACAATGACATATTTCCGTGTACATCTCTGCATTGATATGGCAACAAATTTTCCAAAAGTCCATAATAGAGGAACACAGAAATTAAGATTTGATAAGGATTTAGTCTAATTTCATTTTTATCTACTCTGAAGATCAAAGACGACAATTTTTTTTTTATCCTATAAATATTGATGTTTTTGAAGATTTGGATCAATCAGTTCATATATGAAAATAAAAGAAAGTCATGTTTCAGGATGAAGAATTAACTAAACATCAATCAACAAAGTTGAAGAAATCTGAAACTCCATGAAAATCAGACAGAATTTCAAAATCTGTGACAAAAGAAAATTAATAATTTATTTTATTTATTTACCTTAGGACTAATATCTTCATTCTTGTTGTTATTATCAAGGCTTGCAATGGGAAATCAGAGAGATGTTCAAATTTCAGTCGAGTTTGTTCCATTCACTTACACGTAAATAACCTTGGGAAAGGTTTGAATCCATCACTTCTTCCCTTCAGCTATGGGTTAAATAGTAAGACTTGTATCTAGAAAAATCATTATCTCCAAAAGCTGATCATGCAATATTCACTTGCAGAAAAAAAAATTATTATTCTTGTAATTCCCAAAAATATGTTTAAATAACTCACAAAGGGTTGATAAGTCTTGAAAAAACAAATCAATTTCTATTATCAGAAAATAACAACAAAGATGAAGAGACTAGTCCAAATGTGAATAATTCCTCATCACTGAAATACAAACAGAAATTACTTGTTTTATTCCATCTTCTTATGTATTTTTTTTTTATCTCAATGCTTTCACTTGATACACTTTTTAGTCTTCCTTTTATTTTTGTGGTTTTATTTTTGTTTTCCATCTTTTATCTAAACATGTTGCGTATGATATGATTTCCAGATCCAAAAGCAAACACTGCAAAATCAAAAATTGTTAAAATTATCATCAGTTTTTAAAGATTTTAAAAGAATTTCTTTTTTTTGGATCTGGAGATCAGAATGAAGAGAATTTATGTTTGTTGTTTAAGTTTGTTTCAATATGGATCTAAAGATCTGCTAACCTGTTCGGATGCGTTACTTCTGTGAAGTTGAATTGTTCGAGGCAGAAACTGTTTGAGGTTGTTGTCATAATCGGGATGTTTCTTTCGCTGAAAAAAGAAAACAATTTTCAGAAACAATCATGAATATCAACACAATGCCAACAATTCTTTTAGCATGATTAATAAAAATAAGGTTGGGTTTTGTTTCTAGAACTGATTAAAAATTTGTTCTTTCTATCATCAAAACTGACTTGAAAGGTTGATCAGGCTTTGCATGGTTCATCTTTGAAGATGTATTTTCATGTAATTGTTATAGTGAAATTGTCAGGCAAAAGAATTTAAACCAAAATGTCCATCTAGAAGGTATTTCTCAAAAGTCAGTTAACTTTTCTTTATGGTGGGTGGGAGAGGTTATCTATTCCCACCAGATATCGGCATAATTGATATGGGTCTATATTGGCCTTGTGTAATGATTCAAATATAATGGACAAAGTGTTGATGAGTAGAAAATAAATCTTTATATAAGACAATGTAATAATATAGAAGGATAAGATGAGACTTGAAGTTTCAAGAGTTCAAATGTAAAAATTCTGGCATATAAGAGAAAGAGAGAGTCTAAGAGTAAGTAAATATATATATATGCATATATATGTATTTTAAGACATTTTTATGTTTATACATTCTTTTTATAGATACAAATAAGTAAATGCTCTGAAGTTTAATGGCAGTAAATTCGACCTTGCTAATCGAACGATCCTCTGTGACTCAATCAGTTAAGAGCACATCAGGCTAAATGACAGTTCTGTATAGGATACAGGTTCGAATCCTGTCGGAGGACAAATATTTTCTATGAAAATTTCTCGGACATTCAGGCCGGTAAATGTTATAAATACTGTTTATTATAAAACAGAGCATTTACTTAAATATTTGTATCTATAAAAAGAATGTATAAACATAAAAATGTCTTAAAATAATTGTCGGACTTTGCCCATTTCATAATATATATGTATCCAAATGTAATAGCAGCCTGCTTAACAATGTGGGTGAAGGATGGTATGTCTGTTTTCAAATGTATCAATAGGCTGCTTAAAAAGGTACAGAAAGAATGGTTGTATATTTTAAGTGGAGCAGGATGGTTTATTTATCTCAGGTCACCAGCTGATCGAATTTCCACTCTGGTTACATTACAATGACTGCAGCATTGGATAATAGCAAAAATTTATGTATCAATTCTGGTTTAGGCTGATTTTCCAGGCTGTTATATACATATTTAGAGATTCACTTCATATGTGTCATTTTGCTTTTCATTGGCTAGTGTCTTTATATCCTGCTTGTGAAAGCTTTCTGATTGGTTGATTGAACTATAGCTTTTTGGCCTTGCAATTTCTGATTATACATCTATTTATACAGATGGTGAAATATTGGTCTCCCTATTGCTATTTATTTATTTTTCAATCACCACACCTTATCTGTATTTGTCAGTTTGTCACTGAATTGCAGGTGAATCACTTCTAATTATAGAACTGATATTCTTCATGATATTTCAAAATTTTTTTACCTAATATTATTAAAGAAAAAGTAATATAAAATTTATTATTTCAAATTAATAACATCTTCCAATATGGTCTACAGGTCTTTGGAAATATCATAGCAGACTAGAGTTTGCCAACCCCCAGAAAAATTTAATGTTTATAAAGCTGATTCAAAGGAAGAGTATTAAAAAAATTATTGCATTCCATTCTTTTAGGTGCTTAACAAATCTCCACAAAAATAATTATCTCATGTGAAGGTTCTTATTAACTCTATAAATAAATAAATCATGCCTATTAAACCAGATTTTCTTTTCATTATTCTCATATTCTTAAGGCTAAACCATTTAAATAACATTTATTGGTGTTTTTGTCAGTTTGCACAAACTTACTGATACATGTATATTTGCCTTCTCTATACGTTATTGGCGCAACACAATTTTCCAACTTAAATTTCGTGTGAACTGAATGTGATATCTGGTTAGCGTTACCTAAGACAGTAAAATGCGACACAATATTTTTTAGATGTTGGACCCTACACGTTTTGCATGGGGTGGGTTTTTGCTACAGGTGTCGAGGAGTACCCTGCATCTACACAGTTGAGTGAAATAAGTGCGATCGAGTTACTTCCCTTGAATTACTACTTTTTTTTCAGTTCGAAAGGAAAATAATTACTAACAATTTAGTTTTAGTTCAATATAGGCTAATAATTGATAGCGTTAATGTAAATATACTAAGTATGGCTCAGGGCAACAACACTGAGGTACCTGGTAACAATTCCAGGTCCAATATTTCTTATCAATGTTTAAATTATGCCAAAAGTTTTTTTAGCCTAAAAAAAGTAAAACTTAAGAACAAAGAATGATTATGCTTTTTGCCCACTCTGAAATTCTCATTACTAAAAAGTTTGTTTTTTTCTCCAAAATCTTTGGTAAAAAAAAAGTAAACGTAAAATTATACTTTTTTTAATCGATCGTTTAAATAAAGAAAAATTACTACAACTCTGTAATAGGCGCAGTTTAAAAAGTAAACATTTACAAATAAATAACACTAACAGTTTTTCTTCATAAACTCCTTTCTTTGAAGTGCGTGAGTAAACTAGGATTTTCAGTCTTCAAAAATCATTGGTTTATTAATAATATTATTATTCCACGCTATAAATTCATTGGTTTTATATTAAAAAATAATAAATCCTAACAATAATTCAGCATTAAATACCTCGGCTTTTTTAATTTCATTTTAAAATCGCAATCAACGTGACGACAGGTGAGATTTTGTTGTAACAGTTTTTTACCTGATTTTTTGGTACCCAATACGGAGGAAGCTCATATGGTGGAAGCTGGGCTTGGATGGGCTCGGGTTTCGGTGAAGACATGTTAAGGAAGGTCTATCACTCGTGGCAAGAGAATTAAAAAGAAAATGTTGAGGAACAAAAAAATCCAGTAGATGACACGATGTTTGCACTTTTAAAATCAACCGGAAGTTATTCTCTTCATTCCAACAGGTTGGTCTTGCTTGACTTAAATGGCAAAGCAAAATGCGACGGGAATTATTTTCTATGCACAAAAAGTCAAATACTAACAGAATTATTTACATTCATATTTTGCTCTTTTTTTTTTTAAAGTTATAAGAAATTACGTTTTAAATTATTTCTAAATATGAATCACAATGCGTGTTAAGTCGAGGTTAATATTTTTTTTATTGAACAAAGGGGAGATCACTTGATGATTTTTTAGAAGTTAAGCAAAAAAGAAAAAAAACACGAAACAAAAAAGTTTAATTACAAAAATGTCATATACGTTGACATAGTGTGATGGTTAACGAACCAATCTCGATAGTTTGTTCGCTTTTAGATTCTCTTGGCAAACTCCACCCCTTGTAGCACTGTGCATAGAACACATCCCCGTGGTATCGTGTTTTTACTGATTTTAGTAAGTTTGTTTTCTATGAGCACGATATACTCAAACAAAAGTCAAAACGTTTCAAGGTACCGCTAAAGAACTATATACGTAAGGTTTAAAAAATAAAATTCATTTTTAAAAATGAAAAATCTTTCTTGAAGTTTTTATTTTAGTTCTAATTTCAGGTTTAAAATTTAATCCTCCCAATAAGTAAAAAAATACATCACTGTATTTCAAACTGAATTTAAATTGATAGGAATTTCTTTTATTTAAATAAAATCATCTATATTAATAAATCTGGCAACACAACATAATCATGTTTTATTAAAAATCTTTTAAAAATAAACTGAAACTTTACTTTAAGAGATGAAAAAAATATTTTTACTAAGATTTTCTAAAAATTAAAAAATATTCAGAAATAAATTAATTCATAAGTGCTGAAAGTTTAATTAAAATCTAACAATTATCTGATTTTTGCAAGAATTTTGAATTCAGTGTATTTTGCACCACAAAAAGACGCTAAAATTTCCCATACTAGTTTATGGTCACCCGCTGACGCAAGACAAATAAAATTTTTAACAAAAATTTGAAGATTGTAAAAAGGATCGGAAAATATAATTTAATAATCAAAAAATCCTTTGGTCTGTCCTCTTAATAATAACATAAATATTTTTACAATTTTTTTACTCTTTTTTTTCATCATCTATGGTTATTTATTTAGCAGCTAATCTTTGGAGGTACTTACTTACTTTAAGCCTCGTGTCAGAATTAATAGAGCTTAGGAAAATCCCTATAACAATAAAATATATAAACAAAATTAAAAAGAATTCAAATTAAAATAATGCATTTGCGCTTTCCTTTAAACCAGTATCTCTCTCTTTCTCTAAACTTCTCTTTCTATTCTTCTCTCATCTAACGAGAAGGTAACCCTCAAAAAAAAAAGAGGAAGAACAAGAAAAGACCGGAAGTTTGTAGGATCAGAGCCTACTTATTTGTGATTGAAAAATACCCAAAATCAGGGCGGCTCCACGCATAACTTCCATTGTAAAAAAAATGAAAAAGAAAGGAACGCCGGAAAATAATATAATTTTGACCAATCAAAACAATTTAAGCAAAGAAACCAATGTTCTCGGAGCCTGGTCAAAAGGATATAAACTGATACCTCTGAGCTAGAAGCAAAAAGGACGGCGAGAACTGTGAACAGAGATGCGACTGCTAGACAAACCATCCACGCGCGAAGAAGTATTTAAGAGGTCATCTGCTAATGATATTGATGCCCTTCTTAGGGCCCAGAAGAACACAGTAGATTGGCACTGATACTGACTTATTTCTAATATCACTACTACCCCTACCATGGTCAGGCTTCGAAACATCACCACCGGACATTTCTCCAGACTGCTAACAATATCCGCCTTATAAACAAACATTTTGCTACACCAAATACGAAAAGAATCACTCTAAAGAAAATAAATAAAAATATATTATTTATTTTATACCCTTGAGTCACTTCGTTTTATTCCAAAGTTTCCAGGAAAGAAAATCTTACCGCCTGGCCACACATTCCTAATCTAAAATCTAATCAACAATTTCATAAGTACATTTTTTTTTCATTTTATCTGTTTATTCTTTGCGGACATGTTGAATATTTTGAGAGGTTCAAATTTCACTCTCACAACCTCATAAATGGGTTGACAAGACCCTTACATAGATTCTTACGATAAGATCACTCCACCTTGATATCACCCCCATTCTTGTTGTCAGTCCCCCACCCAATGTCATATTTGGCCAAGGTTAGTAAATACTCTGTCATCTTGCCATGGAGCAATGGTTAGCAAACTTGTGCAAGAAACTGGTAAATGTAAAAGTTTCATTCCTCACTGTGATCTCTATTCTTATGGTTTTATTTGGGATAAGGCTACGGTGGTTAAATAACAAAGAGTGCCTTGATGTAGAGTAAGGCTTAACAGTCTTATCTTTTTTCTTTTTCTTTTTCTTTTTTTTTTTTGATCCTTCATAAACGCTTTCAGTTGTTTTTCTTGTTATTTTTGTATCTGTTGTATAGAAAAGATAAATCCAGTGGATTACTATCGTCTTCAGAAAACTTTCACAGCCTGATCAAGAACATTGTGTGTGAAGAAAAACCTCACTGAAGTGAGCTGAATAAAAATAAACGTTTCTTTTAAATCATATAAAAATCCCCAAGTTGATTTCGATACCTCTTCTCAATCTTATGTTCTTTACATCGGCAACTTGTTGCTGATTAATCTGTGAGCTATCAGTTCTTCTGTAAGCCTTACTTAGTCTGACACAAGGACACAGCATTATGCGACCCACTGATGATTGAACCCACTGCAGTCAGTAATGAATTTGCAAAACTGTCCATTAAGCATTGACGATGTATTCTTCAGTTCTTGACAAAACTTAGTTTAATCTGGCACAAGATTGCAGTCATGTGGCACTTGGTGAAGATAAAAATCCTAGGCAAGTGAATGTTCTGAGAGACAATTTTGGTACTTGTCAAAAGGCTCTGATTTGGACAGGTGTGCCTTGAAGACAACATAAAAAATAAGGTGACTTTAGATAACGATGAAGCCAGTTAATGAGAGGACAATGATACAACATTATCAATTTACACAAGAATAAGACTTAATTCATTGACGAAAAATGGACATTGATTTCAACTTTCATAAAAAGTGGAAGCAAGATTGTTAGAAATGGAGAACATATAAAAAGCTGAGAAACAACCACATTGAAGACAAGAATTTATTACAAGAAAGGAAAAGAAAAATAGTTTATTGACAAACTTATTTTTTATAAAGAGTTCAGTACAATATGAGTCCCATGTTGTTTTTTTTTTCTTTTTTGGAAGAAAGAAAATCGCCATATAATCATTGTTTATGGGTCAATATGATCAAAGGCTATAAAAACTGACTAAAGAAATGTTACCAAAAGATAAACAGTTTTGTGCCACAAAGAGAAAGATCAAGAAAAGATAACATTAAATGAATCCAGAATTTCTATAAATTGAAAAACGTGTATAAAATAGGATATAGAATTTTCACAAAGTTTGAATATAATAAATGGAAAATCGTTTCATTGAAACTGGATTACGTGTTTTGCTCTTATTAATCTTCATCAAATCAAAAACAAAAGAAAGAAATGTGTGTGTGTTTGTGTGTGTGTGTATTTACGTGTATGCTTAAATAATAAATCTTTAGTACTTTCTCTGCTAAGCTGGCGTTTCAAAGAAAAGAATGAAATTGTGCGACCTTTGTAAAAAAAAAAGCTGTTAATATTTAATCCGTATATTTTCTTTACAATTTTCTTGTTTTTGTTGAAATTTATTTATAGAAAATGAAAACTCGAAAGTATTTATAGAAAAGGCACAAGAAATTTACATTATGATGTTGGGAAAATGGCTGAAGCTGAGATGCCAATAACATTGCAGATTCTTCTTTGGATTTTATCAAGAATCTCTAAATACATAGCAGTAACACTGGACCATATTTGGCAGCAATATTCAAAGCATACAATATATAAATATGTAAGATAGATTCTGGTGAAAAATTGTCTAACGCAACATAGGGAACCAAACGTTCCTAGCAGCAAGTCTCGCAATTGATTCAATATAATCTTTCCACTTCATGTCAGTGGCAAAACGTTCATCCGAGAAGCGTATTTTCCGGCTTACAAGACGCACTTTTTTCCTAAAAAAATACCCCGAAAAATACGTGTGCGTCTTCCAAGACAAATGTAAGGCAATGCCCAGGTTCCAGTAAGCTTGGACGCTCACCTAATTGGTTTGACTGATAGGGACATGGATCTGTATATCGAATCATTACACTATAATGTTAGCTATCTAATTCAGCCTTTTATATTATGTAACCTCAGTACTTAGCTGTTACAAATATTTCCAAGACTAAAACCTTCCTGAAGCCAAGCCACAAGCTTAAACATGCTCTGTTTACTAGCAGCGACAGGAACCTTTCTAATATGTCACTACCATACAAACAAAATTGGACGAGTGTTTAATGTAAACAATACATGGTGCTAGAATGTGAGGGACGTATGGTGAATGTGTTGTTGTATGAGAATGACTTTTTCTTTTTTAGAAAATTCATTACAATATTAGAGTGCGTCTTCCAAGCCAGAAAATACAGTAAGTGCAACGTGTCACTCCCCTGGAGGTTAGCATCAGTCATATTGAGAAAAGGCAAAAATGTTCTCTAAGACAGTTAAAAGAGAGCAATTTTATTTTGGTAGCGTTTAAATTAACAAACCATTTTTTGTCCCATTTAACAACAGATTGTAGGTCATTTTTTAGATCAGATCTCAATTTGAGCTTATTAAAACTATCAGACTTACTATTAAGACAGGAGTAAATAGTTGTGTCATAAGTATAGGGACTGATTTAGGAACTGGTGACATCGGACAGGTCTTTGATGAGAACAGCTTAGATCCTAGGATAAAGCCT